CCCTAGTTAGGAACTGTTCAACAATGCACACCTATGATCATGCACTGGACTGAGCTGAAAACTGCCATATTCCAAGGTTAGTACGATAACATTCAACTAATGAATTGAAATGAAGGTGTTATATTCTAGCTCCACCGCAATAGAATATATGGTAGGGAAAACTCCTTGCAATTACACTCCTGAAGCTAACTACTAACATGCACTGAAAAATTGAAATGATAGCTTTCTGGGAATGCGATTACTTTTCAAGTTATATATTTTCACAAACTACTATCAGCTAGGAAATAACTGTTACTTTTGAAGAACCCGAATCAGGCAACGCAAAAACTCATTGCACAGCAAAGACTTACCCCTGCAGCTTTCCAAGATTGATTAGAAGTGATACCTACTAAGTCAGTCTGGAAATTAGTTGTCCTCTACGTGCATCGAACTTGTTAGCTACTAAAATTAATACAATCTCACTACCTTATAGATTGATTTTCATTCGGTTGCTAGTCTTACTTTAAAGGTAGAAGACGAAAGACTTAGTGAAGTAATGTTTATTTGCAATTGAGTATTTCTACATAGCAAAGATATGTACATCTTCAACGCACCACTTGCACAGATCTTCCGTGTTGTGCTACTTCTGGCCTTCATATTGTGTTCCTTTGTGTTCGTTTCAAGTCTCCCATGTACCTGTGCAACGTTGTATCATTTTATTTCTGTGACATCAAATCTATCTTCCTGCTATTTGATGTTTTTATGCTGATGAGTACTCTTCATATACTACTGATAAATCTTATCAGTAGCACACGCCACATTACTACTAGTGGTTTTCACTTTATACACTGAGTGAGAAATATTTCGTACAGGAAACTGGTAAAGTCCTTGGAAATCTCTATATTCTGAAGCTAATTGTCTATTAGATTTACATGTACAACAGGTAGTTGTGTTTCTGTTGGTCTAAAGACTAAAATATTGATGAGAAAGATTTACAGCTCACATGAATGTTTTGGTGTTGTTATATTTCCTAAGCTGGATGATTTAACTGAGAAAGTTTCATTGTCCTTCTAGATAACATTTTCAGTGTTTACTTCGATGTGAAGTGAACTTTTGAAATCTTCCATATATGAATGAAATTATCATATTTCCAACTGGTCAAAATCAATGTTAGATGTGCGTCGATGGCACAGTGGTTAGGATGCTCGCCGACCATGTAAATGGTCCGGGGTTCGACCCCTTACCGACACCCACTTGATATCAATTGGTTGGCCTGTGAAATTTGGGCTACCGATATCGCATGCTGAAAATTCCATACTTGTACCAAAAATACGATGTGGAATCAAGCTATAATTAGAAAAATATGAACTAGGTACTTTCAATTAGAATTTGTGACAAGCAACCAATTTCATAATCAAGTCAGAAATGAAGATGTTGTCTAGAAAGGCAATCAAAGTTTCTCGATCAAAGCATTCAGCTTAGAGAGTACACAAGTAAGCCAATGTCCTTTTTTATTATTTTTAATTTGACATAATTTATTTATTTATTTAATGTTACAGAAACTCGAAGACTTACAAGCAAAACCCAACAAACTGCCTGAACAGGCAGTCAGCAAAGACAGAACTACAGGTGGACAAAGAAAAGACGGAGGTGATGAAGATAACCAAGCAAAAACGACAACAACAACCAGCATCGATCACCATCAAAGGGAGAGATTTGACAGAGGTTACTTCCTTCATTTATCTAGGAGGCACAGTTTCAACCGCAGGCAGGTGGAACGGATGAAGATGTCAAATCCAGCCAGCGAGAATCGGAAAGGCGAGGTATGCCTTCATCAACCTGAAACCAGTTTGGAAATCTTCTGCACTCTGCCTCAGCATGAATAACAAGCTTAGGATTTTCAACAGCAATTTTAAGTTAGTGAGTTATTCTGCATGGGTCGGAAACTTGCAGTGCGTGTCACAAAAAGGATTTCCAACAGTCTACAGACTTCTATCAACAGTTGGCTCCATAGTGAAGATCAAATGGCCGGCCGGCCAGAAAGAATCAACAACAAGAAACTGCGGCTGGGAACAAACCAACCAAGAACCGATCACTCAACAAATATGTAGGAGAAAGTGGAGATGGATCGGGCAAACTCTGAGGAGACCGTTGAATGACGTCGCGCGACAGGCCATCGCTCGAGTGGGATCCGAATGGGAAACGCCGAGCTGGGTTTGGGTCTGAGGATGACATGGAGGAGGACATGAGAGACTATGAGGGGTCGTGGACTCAGCTTAAGAGGAAAGTAGAGAATAGCACAAAATGCAGATGTGTTGTTGAAGCCGTATCTTGCACCCGGAACACAAAGGAATAATAATATAATATAATGAAAATCATGTACAACTTATTATTATTATTGGAAGGATTTCATTAGTAGCTAACACCTTCACTTGATACTGAAAGTTAGATGGCTAGCAGACTGGAAAGGATGAGCAATAATGAACTCCAGCAGTCAACAAGCCAATCAATAAATTATCACTAAACAAATTAGCAGGAGGAAATGAAGGTGGATAAACATACCCTGAGGAGACCCCTAAGGACACCTGGATGGGAAGCAATGATTTGGGCGTGAGTCAAGCGGAATATAGAGACAGATCATGTGAGAAGGATATGAAAACTTAAACGGCATTCCTGGAGCCAGATGAAAATATTGACAGATAACAGAATAAGATGAAGATGTGCTACCGAAGCACTACTCTCGATTCGGAACCCAAAGAACAAAGAATCGGTCGGTCGGTTTTCGACATTGAACTTTGCAAATATGTGCGGCAGTTCAAGTCGCCACACTCCCTCCTTGTAGCACACAAAGGAAGAGAAGAAAGTAGAAGAAATGCACAATATAGACAGTAAACAGAGGTGTGAGACAAAGGTATAGTAATAACGGAGAACAAAACAGTTTCATCGGAAATCATAAGTCGCAAGGAGTGGATGCATCTGCGCCACTGAGAACGATTTCGAGCCATGTCACTGATTGTTTCCAACCATTGGTTTTTACCGTCCTGGGGACCTCAACCAGTCAGGAAGTTTACACCTTCCTACGTGGCTCAGACTAACTGTTGTGGATTTCATTGACTGGTGCCATGTTTTCGTTTGACCGCCGCTAGCTCTTTTCCAGCCTGACCCTATGTCAGCTAACATTGCTCGTTGTCGAGGAAGGAGATGACTAGGCATACGTAGCACATGTCCTAACCATCTCAGTCGATGTAATTTCACAGTCTCGTCTATTGATTTCCCCACCTTACCTAGCACTCGACTGAGGCCTAACTTCAATATTGCTCACCTTATTATACTACTTCACGCGGGATAACAATAGTAATGGAATTTACTAATTATTTAATTCTATCTGCTTCGTTGATATTTTTTCTAAAAATTTTAATTAACATAAAAGTCAACTGGACATTTAAACGGTTTATTTAATTTTCTATTTGTATTCTTTCGTATAATTTGACTGTAATAATCAGTCAGTTATTTTGATTGGACCCTAGTCAGTAACTAGTGTAATGTGTCTAGTCCTACCTTTGGTGCGAACTGAATTCTATCAGTCAAGTTTGCCGATTGCCTTCAACCATCTAAAATCAATCAGTTAATTACACTCCTAGTGCGTAGGTGGTCGATTGATCGGTAACCACGCATTTGATCCAGGTTCGAATCCCGGTCGACGAATTCCTCAAACCTGCCTAGTTTACTAGCGCGTCAATAAGCCTGGGAAATAGAGACGGTCGGGCGTGAGACTAGTAGCCACACTCAGCAAAACATCAGTACTATTATATTTCAGTATTCTTATTGAAATGTGTATAAGAGATTATAAATTATGAGTACTGTAACTTAATTCTAATAGACCAGTGTTTCATTTGAGATTTTTTTCCTTCAAGTTCCCCAGTGGAACATAGGGATTCAAACCAATGGCTTGAAGTTTCTGTAGCAGTGTTTATTTTACAGGATGGGGTTGCTAGCCCCATGCCCAACCATTCCTCTTCACCAGTATTATTTCTGGCTTAGCGAGGTAAAGGAATGCGTCGGCCGGAGACCGAATCCCGGACCATGTGCATGGTCGGCGAGCGTCCTAACCGCTATGACACCGACGCACCATTTGAGATTTGGTAGAGAATTATTATCTGGGTAACTATAAGGTAGATTCTTTACGCTCACTCACTCAATTTTCGATGTAATTTTTCATTCTTCAGTCATTGTTCTCACAATTTTTCCTACGCCTTCGCTTTCCGAGTGGAACATAGGGCTATAAACACGAGATTTGAAGTTTCAGTAGCAGTGGTGTTTTTTAACGGCATGAAGTTGCTAGTCTCACGCCCACCCTTCTGTCTTTACCGGGCTTACTTCCTCGAAGTGGGGTCAAGGAAGGCGTCAGCCAGAAATCGAAGTACGGACAACGTGCGCGGCTGGAAACAATTATACAGCCGAACCACTGATATGTGAAGAGTGTTCTCATATAGGCATTTTAATTCTTTTCATATTATGTCCATACCTCTATCTAATGTGAACTGGTTTAGGTTCTCGATTTCAAAACACTAGGTCACTAGTTCGAATCACTTCCCCACTCTAAAAGGATTTAGCTGGCCAGACAGTATCACCATTTTCATTCCTCGCATTTCAAATGAAACATAGGGGGCTTCAGACTTTAGAAATTTCCGTGGCGATGGTGTTATTTTCTTCACTGAATAGGGTTTCTAGTCTCACGTGGAATTACTATTGACTAGTAAAATGATAGAGATATGGGAGTTCGTTGAGCGGGAATCGAACCCTGAATGGCTGACAACCATTCTAACATTGAACCTCTAACGCTGTCACATAATTAAATACAGCCTATTAGCCATTGGATGCAGATAAAAGTTTATTTTCTAATATCTCAGCTTGAGTCAAGGTCACACGATTGCATGACCTTGGAATCAGTTTAAACAATAGCATAATCAATAAGTATGCATACCTTGAACAGACTAACTAAACTATTTAATAGTTATTAAATGATAAATTCTCTAGATCAACCTCAATTTCCAGCACCGCCACCGCCATCTTCATCATCCGGTATCGTAAATAATCCTCAACCTCTGTTGGACAGAAGATTCGATGAAGAGAAATTATTAATTTATCGTGAATTATATTACGATGGATTTAGTTCTATTATAGCAGCAAGAGATTTAACTACAGGCGGTGGAGTAGCAGTGAAAAAAATAGATTTTCGTTTTATGAAAACAATTAAAGGTGCCTTTACATTGCATGAATTAAAAAAACGTTTTTGTAATAAATTATACGAAAATACGCATAAACTAAGTACACTTTCATCGAATACATGTATTCTCAAGTTAATTGAATTTATTGTTGAACCAAAGCGTTTAATTATTATGACAGAAATGTGTATATTTGGAGATTTTTTCAATTGGATCTTGCAACAACATCATTTATATGTGAAAGATATTTGTTTAATGCTACAGTATTTATTTCAAGCTGTTTATTATTTACACTCACATAATTGTATCCATGGTAACCTATTGCCTACTCATGTGTTATTTCAAACTTTATCTCCACAATCCGTGACGCTGATGTTAGATATGAGTATAAAAAGTGAAATTTTCTATTTAACTGGTCAACCATCAACAATTATTTATGGTTGGGCACCAGAATTTATACGTACTATTCTACAATCTGTTGATATTATGCCGACAGATAGTTTTAGTAATAATATGAGTATAGATTATCAAATGAATAAAAATAAAGAGAAATTATTACAAAAAACACGTATGATGGATATCTGGAGTATTGGTGTTATAGCGCATATTGCATTCACTGGTCGACCGCCATATCAAGCTGAACAATTACATGAATTGCTAAAATTAATTGATATTAATCAAGGAAAGTTAAATCATCCGCTCATTAAATCATTTCATAAAACAATTATTGATAAATTAATACAATTATTACAAATTGATCCATTGAAACGTTACTGTTCATTTATTGAAAGTAATAATTGTAATACTAGTACGACTACTACTACTAATAATAATAGTAATAATGATTTCCACTGGTGGTGTAATCATGATGAAATTAAAAATGATGAGCGGAATTTATTACACATTATTGAATATGATATGATGAGCACATGTAGACGATATCGTTTCCATGGTAGACAATTATTTGAAAAGATATTCTTAGCAAAAGAACAGAAGAACAAAAATAAAACAAAGAATCTATAAATTCTTCATATGAAAAGAAATTTATTCCCTACACATTTATTATTAATATTACTACTATTTTGAGTGAAGGAAGAATAAAGTAGATCTTCATGTATGAAGTTGATATGTCGGCGAGCTATAGTTCATTGGTAAACACATTTTTAAAATGCATTTTTCAAGTATTGGTTTTGTGAGGATTTTGTTTAATTAGTTGGAGGATTTCCGTTAGAGAACCATTGAGAAACCAGCACTGGAGTACTGGAAAGCCGTTTCGTCCTATTCTGGGACTCGTCACAGTACGTACACAGCGCCAGGGGTCAAACGCAGGACCTACTGGTTACAAGGCCAGCGAGGTCGTAGACCATTAAGCCACTCACTGGGAACCGATCCAATGAATTCTAACTTTTTCCAATTCATGACATAGCGCGACCACTTCGCAATGTCTTCGGTGAGTAAGTATCCTCATCTTCTACCTGCTGTACCCTACCGGTCACAGCTCCCCACTAGAACCCCATGTAACTGCCTGAAGAGGGCCAGTCGTTAGTGAGCGTGCGTTTATAACCTAATCAGGCAATAACTAATTCCTTCATAGGACTGGATTTTTCATTCCTTTATGGTCTGAGTGAAGAAGAGACGTTTCAGTAAATGGTAGGGGGGTTGCCAGTCTCATACTCAACTCCCCCTCTTTTATGGCCTTACTATCGGCTGGTAGACTAGGTAAGGTTTAAGACTTCAGCAGTAAATTGCCAATTCATCCTGTTCTCTGGAATCTTTCTCAGTAGGCTCCAAGATTGACCATAAGATTTCATTTCCTTCTGACGTGACCTCCTCCATGTCACCTTTGATCCGCGTCCAACTCGTCGTTTTCCATTCGGGTGTCACTCTAGGGTCTGAGGCTCAGTGTCATTCAATGGTCTCCTCGACGTTTATCCGATCCAGTTTCATTTCCGAAATGAATTAACCGATTGATGTTAATCAATATATTTGGTGGGGCGATTAGCAGGTAGCCTTGGACCTAAGTTTCGTACTAGTTAGCACTTGGCAGTCGGTAAGGCGTATCTACAATCTTGAAAGAACTCATATCCTTTATGAGATTCGAACCCGCGTCACGCAGTGCTGTATTCGGAGGCGTTATAAATGAGCTATTTGAGCTAGCGACTGACCTCCTTTAGGGCTCTAATCGGTACTTTGATTGGACATTACATGATAACTAACGTCAGGCGTCTAGTACATGGTGTGTGGTGCACACTGAATTCTATCAGTCTAGTCTATAGTTCACTGTCTAAAATTTCTGAGATAGTAAGCCAAACGATAGGATTCTCGTGAATTTTAGCTGTGAATAATGAATCGACAGAAAACTGTAAACGACGATCACTACCTACCGGACCATACAGTCTATTACATGAGATTTCTTCATACATCTCTTTACCTTTGGATAACATCATTAAACAATTAAGTTGACCTGAAAATGTTTGATGTATTAATGCAATACATTCCGTACAACGTGATTACACAGCTGCTTTTCAGTTGAAGTTACAAAAAAATAGAGAAATGTAAGATCAGTTAAAAGACACAAAATACAGAAGGGGTGATTTAAGTGTAAGAGAGGTTATAATTGACATTAACTCTCGTAATATAAGATAGGAATTATCAAAAGGTGGGGTAGCTTGAATATGGGAATAACTATGACCTTAGCATGTTTCATTATTCTTTGTATAAACTCTTGAAGGATGATTTAACAAGAAACTTAAGGTTCACATCAATAATAAGCTTTGATTTGGACGACGCTGGCAGTCATTCGACACATGTGCTTATCGAAGTTTTACAGTTTAATTGTCTCTCAAGACATTTAAGTACATGTTTCCTCAACCTCAGCAGCAAAGAGCATTTACTCTTCCCTGTGTATGTATTAAAGCATATGTAAATTCAAGTATTGGTTTGTAGGGATTTTGATTGATTGGTCACAGGATTTCATCATCAACTGACATCAGTTAGAGAACCAATGGAAAACCTGGGAGTACTGGACTGCCAACTGTTTCGTCCTAGTCTGGGACTCTTTATCAGTACGTACCCGCCGGGGTTCGAACCTTCTGGTTGCAAGACGAACACGTACACCATTAAGTCACTGGGACCCGATCCAATGGCCCATGAATTCTTACTTCTGCCAATTCACGACATAGCGCGATTGGCACTAGCTAATGCCATCGTTGGTGAGTATTTGTCCTCACACCCGACCTGCTGTACCCTACTGGTCACGACTTGTAACATGAAGGTCCCGGGTTCGAACCCTGGCGGTGGGTGCGTACTGTGAAGAGTCCCAGAATAGGACGAAATAGCTACCCAGTACTCCCAGGCTTTCCAATGGTTCTCTAACTGTCAGTTGATGATGAAATCCTGTAAACATACATAAATTGGTATATAACATGGGATGTAACGTAATCATGATAAGATTTGTTGTACAGCATGTTTGGTTTTTTTTATAAGGATAACCAAGATTGTAAAAATATGTTTAACAGATGACAGTCTGTCACAAAATCACACTACTTATTTCACCGCTGTGAAAAATTTAATATAAACACATTTTTTCGAGACAGAAGACTTCTTCTAATGTAATGTAGAATAACACAACTTAGTCTCTTGAATCCGATATGCAATAATCCTAGTAAGTTTGAAGTGGCACTGTTAGATTACGTTGGCATTTACTCCAAGTTTAGGGATAGGAAGTGAAGTGACTGACTGATCAACTGATAAGAATCATCTTATGACTAATCATGTGATCGGATGACTGTAACATTTCATCATCATTTTTCTCACCTTGATCTTCGTCAAATCGCCAACCAATCAGAATAGTTATTTTTCGCCTACTTTAACTGAATCGCCTATCAGTTGGAACAGTTTGTTTCTGCTTCCCTGGACCGATTTTAGTGTGGTAAATAATATATATTAACACCACAATCACATGTCAGTCTCTCTCTTTTGATATTTACGTGGCTCAGTGAAGCAGATGGTACCATGGACGAATAAGTGTATCTATCTAGCAGCATATCAGCTGAGTTGTTGATTGCGTCAGTATTATTATACCCACGCATAAATTCACCCAGTCATATCAACTATCGACGTGATCATATCAGTTGACGACAGGTCCATAACTAATTGGCGACGGGGTTATTTAGTTCAGTGTCGACATAACACCAACTTATTTTTTTTCCTTCACGTTCCCCAGTGGAACATTGGGCTTCAAGCAAGTGGCTTGAAGTTTCTGTAGCAGTGTTTATTTTACAGGATGGGGTTGTTAGCCTCATGCCCAACCTTTCCTCTTCACCAGCATTATTTCTGGCTTAGCGAGGTAAAGGAGTGCGTTGGCCGGGGATCGAACCCCGGACCATGTACATGGTTGGCGAGCGTCCTAAAGGCTATGCCACCGATGCAAAAAGAAGTCGGTAACACCCGGTATTCCCAGTCGGTCACCCATGCAAGCACTAACGGGGCCCAACGCTGCTCAACTTCGGTGATCGGACGAGAACCGGTGCTTTCAATGTGGTATGGTCGCTGACACCAACTTATTTAGTAAATTTTACTAGTATTAATACGCTGACTGATACAAAAAACTGGATCAGGAATAAAGACGTGCTGATATGATATTTAACAACTTATAACACCTCTGGAGCAGGTAGGCTATTTCATTACCTTGTAACGACAGAAGACAAGGGCCACGCAACAGATCGTTTATTGAGAAAATCAACAGATATTTATAGATTTTTATATACATTATTATTCGTTATTGTTAGCAGAGAAGCAACGACTGCTTGTTTTCCTGCTGAAGGTTATTCTGTCATCTTTTTGTTGCCGTTTATTAGACAGTTCGGTAATATATCTGACATTCGTATCTGCCCACGCTAAGTCTGCTATGATTGGTTGTTGAGTTCCTCAAGGTTAGGCTTTGTTCGTGTTCTTTCTGACGACCCCAATTCAGGACGTAAACATTGACGAAAATTGCTACCAATTTTGGCTGGCAGACAGCTCTCACCACGACCTTATCACAGTAAGATAACTACGTGGTATTCTGCCTCACTATCTCCAGAGTTTTGAAACCTTAAGCGCCTACATCATGTCTCTGTTTCATCTTTAAAAGCCCTTATGAACCTTTATTTAATTTTTTTTGGCTGAGGCCTCTTTATGTTCATTGTGATATCACTCCTCATTCTACTTCCCATTTTGAGTTGCCGACAATAATGGCTATTGTGGTGAAATTTCATGTATACCGGATTCTGTGTTGTTTTATGTGTCTATTTTAAGGTGGTTGCCACCACAAACGATCTGGTATCGACGACCATGGGTAGACTTCGGTCACACGTTCGTAGTCCCTGACACGTATATCCTATTCACTGCTCCTCACAAAAGTGAAAGGGAGAATTAGGACATCTGGCGCTTATAACAGGACTGATGGACGACCAGGTCTACCTAGGGAAGTCGAAAAACCTTGATTCCGAAACTCCAGATAGAAATGGATCAGATGCGCCTTGCTGACGAGTGCCAACTAGCACGAAACCTAGGTCCAAGGCTTCCTACCGATTGCCTCCAACCATCTAATATCATCACAAACAATGTACACAGTGATGGCGAGCTACCTAGAAAGGTGGCCACATTACAACCTGACTGATAGAATTCAGTCTGCACCAAAGAGAGGACTAGACGCATCACACTAGTGTCAAATCCAGACATCTTCTGTGTTAGGACATTTACCCTTCTAGTATCTAAGTTACATTTACACAAAGTACCTTATTCTAACTATTTCCAATTAAATACCTTTTTTTCGAAATGACACACTATAGGGTAAATTAAAGGGTTAACATCAGTTTAGGGATCATCAAAAATTAACGAGTACTGGGACACTGTTCCTACTAAGTTTGGAAATCCTCAACAGTGTGCATCAAGAATCGAACCCCAGAACTCCCAGCTTACAAAGTGATCTTCTTTAACTATTCATCCACTGGGGTTGAAATCTGATGTCCCGTGAATTG